TAATCCTCTTTGTTGCTCTTCTCTGCACTCTTTCAACCTAGAATGGGTGCTCCATCACTGGAGGTCTTCAAGAAGACATTGGAGAGCCATTTGTCTGAAATGGTTCCATGATGGCAAACCTGTGGCACACGGAGCCATATCTGTGGGCACATGAGCATTGCCCTAGCTCAGCTCCAGCGTGTGCCAGCCAGCTGATTTTCGGGTCTTCTGGGCCCACCAGAAGTCGGGAAATGGGCCTTTTTTGCAGATGAGACTTGAGTCAGGGGTTTCCGATTCCCTCCCTGGCCTGAGTGGTTTGTACAGATCTTCCCTTTCTTTGCACTTTTGAATCTTTCTTTGAATCTTGCTATTTCGAGGGCTTCCAGAGAAGGCCGGGCAGGAAACCACGTCTTCTCCTTTGCAACGTTTCTAAGGGGGCCACGTGGAGCCTGCCCTCTGCTTGTGCTCTGCAGCACCTTTTCTAGGGAAAAAGGAACAGGCTGCGTCTATTTTTCTGACCTTGAATGACGGGAACGACCACAAGGGAGCCCAACAATTATGTTCATTTAAATCGGAGGTCTTCAAACTTGGCACCTTTAAGACTTGTGGACTTCAACTCCCAGAATTCTCCAGCCAGCTGTGCTTGGCAGCTTTAAGACTTGTGGACTTCAATTCTGGGAGTTGAAGTCCACAAGTCTTAAAGGTGCCAAGTTTGAAGACCTCTGATTTAAACGGTCACAGAGGAAGAATGAAATGAGAATGAAATTATCTTCCTTTTTTTTTCAGCTGCCAGAGGGCAAATCATCCCTTGGTCACGCAAAGCCTTTTTTTTTTTCCTGGTGTAAATCCTCATCTTACGACCGCAATTGAGCCCAGAATTTCCGTTGCTAAGTGAGTCATTTGTTAAGTGAGTTTTGCCCCATTTTAAGACCTTTCTTGTCACGGTTGTTAAGTGAATCTTGGCTTCCCCGTTGCTTGTCAGAAGGTCGCAAAAGGGGATCAAGTGACACACACCCCCGGGACGTCATAAATAGGAGTCAGGTGCCAAGCGTCTGGATGTAAATCATGTCACCACGGGGATACTGCAACTGTCGTAAGGGCGAAACATGTCATAAGTCACTTTTTTCAGTGCCGTTGTAACTTTGGACGGTCACTAAACGGACTGTTTTAAGTCAAGGACTACCAGAATACAATCAAGACTTCTTCATTTATTAATTTCCTGAGAAAATATATATATGGCTGCCCAATTTAACAGAATAACAGAATTGAAACGGATCTGCTCCGAAGTCCAAAAAGAGCATTTTTCCTCAAGTTTTGAAGACCACAGTAAACTCCTACAAGAAGGACAGAGAAATTTGCCTCTGTGCTTGGCATCGGCTGCTAAGTGGAGACCACAAACCCCATCATCCCCCATCCCATATGGCTCTCCACCGGCAGCGAAAAGGACTCAGCGACAGCGAGCAAACCCCTCTTCCGTCAATGCTCCCACACACAGATACACCCTGGACACTTCTGGAAAGGAACCATGTTGGTGTAGTGGTGGTTAAGGCACCAGGCTAGAAACCAGGAGACGGTGAGTTCTAGTCCCGCCTTAGCACGAAAGTCAGCTGGGAGACTTTGGGCCAATCACCAGGAGACGGTGAGTTCTAGTCCCGCCTTAGCACAAAAGTCGGCTGAGAGACTTTGGGCCAATCACCAGGAGACGGTGAGTTCTAGTCCCGCCTTAGCACGAAAGTCGGCTAGGAGATTTTGGGCCAATCAGGAGGAGACGGTGAGTTCTAGTCCCGCCTTAGCACGAAAGTCGGCTGGGAGACTTTGGGCCAATCACCAGGAGACGGTGAGTTCTAGTCCCGCCTTAGGCACGAAAGTCGGCTGGGAGACTTTGGGCCAATCACCAGGAGGCGGTGAGTTCTAGTCCTGCCTAAGTCTCTCTGTCTTAGTCCAGCCCACCTCAGAAGGTTGTTGTGGGGAAAACAGCCGGAGGGAGGAGTATTAAGTATATTCACCACCCGGAGTTATTTATAAAAAGATTAAAGGTGGAAGATAAGTGAAAGGACTTCTGTGCCTGGCCCTTTTTCCTTGCAACGGTTGGCCAACCACCTCTGGTTCAGGGCGTGATTACAACATGAGGCAGCACTTTCGTTCCAGAGAAGAAGAAATTTCCTTCTGCAAACGTTTCTGGTTGAGAAAAAACGGGGTTGGTTGGCAAAGCTGGTTGTTATGATAGTTAGGGGTGGATCTCAGGTCAGGCCAAGGAGGATTAAGGAGGCAGAATAACTGGTTAACAGGCCCGGAAGGCAAGGAACTGCCTCTTTCATTGGAAGAAGCCCAAGAAAAGGTCACAAAAGGCTTCTTGGGGAAAGAGTTGCAGAGAAGTTGACTGGAGATCTCAGAATAACAGAGTTGGAAGGGACCTTGGAGGTCTTCTAGTCCAACCCTCTGCTTAGGCAGGAAACCCTACACCATTTCAGACAAATGGGTGTCCAACATCTTCTTAAAAACCTCCAGTGATGGAGCATTCGCAACTTCTGGTGGCCAGCTGTTCCACTGGTTAATTGTTGTCACTGTCAGGAAATTCCTCCTTAGTTCTAAGTTGCTTCTCTCCTTGATGAGTTTCCACCCATTGCTTCTACTCCTGCCTTCAGGGGCTTTGGAGAAGAGCTTGACTCCCTCTTCTTTGGGGCAGCCCCTCAAATATTGGAAGACTGCTATCATGTCACCCCAGGTCCTTCTTTTCATTAAGCTAGACATCCCCAATTCCAATAACTGTTCTTTATATCTTTTCGCTTCCACCCCACTAATCCTCTTTGTTGCTCTTCTCTGCACTCTTTCCAGAGTCTCAACATTTTTTGTATATTATGGTGACCAAAACTGGATGCAGAATTCCAAGTGTGGCCTTACCAAGGCCTTATCTGACGAGATCTGACGAGATCCGTCCATGAATGGTGTGAATGGGTTTTAATGTCTTTTAATGTTTTTAATTTCTAAGTGTTTTTATAGTGATTTTTTGAGTGTATTGGGAGCCGCCCTAGGTCTTTGGAGAGGGGCGGCATATAAATTGAATGAATGAATGAATGAATGAATGAATGAATGAATGAATGAATGAAATAAATAAATAAATAAATAAATAAATAAATAAATAAATAAATAAATAAATAAATAAATAAATCATAAAGTGGTATTAGCACCAGAGGTGGGTTTCAGCAGGTTCTGACCAGTTCTGGAGAACCGGTAGCAGAAATTTTGATTAGTTTGGAGAACCAGGAGTAAAAATTTTGACTGGCCCTGACACCATCTATTCTCTGCCTCCCAAGTCCCAGCTGATCAGGAGGAAATGGGGATTTTGCAGTAACCTTCACCTGCCACACCCACAAAGCCACGCCCACAAAGCCGCACCCACAGAATGGGTAGTAAAATATTTTTAAACCCACCACTGATTAGCAATTCACGTGATCTTGATTCTATCCCTCTGTCTATGCAGCCCAGAACTCTGTTGGCTTAGTTTTAGCCCCAGGACCTGGAAGGCTTTGATGCTGACCACTAACACCTTGAGCTGGACCCAAAAGCAAATTAAAGCTAGATGCCAGGTTTGCCATCTTTGGCTTGATGCCTTGCTGGCATCCTGCCATCCAATGTTAGGGGGCAGGTGGGAGAGCTGGATCATATACAAGTGATTGTCCACTTAGGCTCCAAGATCCCTCTCACAGTTACTACTGTTGAATCAGGTATCACCTGTACTACACCTGGGCATTCGTTTCTCTTGCCTAAGTGTAGAACCTGACTTTTCTCACCACTCAATCTCTCCTAGGTTATTGCCGTGCAGGTGATCCTCGACTTATGACCACGATTTGAGCCTGACATTTCCGTTGGTAAGCAAGGCAGTTAGGTGTTAAGTGAGTCACGCTCCATTTTACAAACTTTTTTTGTAAATAAGCAAATCATTGCAATACTTCAGTTAGTCACACGGTTGTTAAGTGAATCCAGCTTCCCCCATTGACTTTGCTTGCCAGAAGGTCCCAAAAAGAGGATCACGTGACCCACCCCCCACCCCGGACACTGGAACTGTCATAAGTACTATGAAGTACAGCGAGTTCTCGATTCGAGGAGGCACAGAGGGCGCCTCCAGTACTTAATTAAGTGGAAGGGCTACCCCTTGTCAGAAGCTTCCTGGCTGAAGAGCACAAACATCCAAGCTGACCGCCTCATAGCTAAATTCCATGCAGATCACCCGGACAAGCCGGGAGGGGGTGGGGTACCCCCCTCAGAGGGGGTGAGGTACTAAACTTGTTGTTTATCTCACGCAGGCCCCGCTGGGAGAGTGAAGGGAGAGGGGCCGGATGTCAGCGCTTCGACGCTGGCATAGAGAGAGAGAGAGAGATAAGCTCTGAACTTTTGCCTGCTAAATCCCTTTGAAGTCGGGTTGTCGTGGAAATGAAGAGGGGGGGAACATTCCTGGGAAATGACGAGACAAGAAATCTGAAGAATGACTTGGAAGATAGCCAATGAGAAGCAGAGATTTGGGGATCGGAAAGGGAGGGATTGGGGGGCAAAAGGTCAACCTTGTCCGCATCAAGTCATGATCCGGTGGCTGTGCTCAATTAAAGAAAATATTTCCTTAAAGATTGGCAGTTTGGAAATTCATTTATTTTGATATAGCATCGAAATCTGACATACATGCCAGTTGCCGAGTGTCTGAATTTTGAAAACGTGACCCTAGGGATGCTGCTCATTTAATGACCGCAGTGATTCGTTTAATAACTTAATGGGGCAAAACTCACTGAACAACAGAAATTCTGCGCTCAATTTTAGTTGTAAATCAAGGACTACCTGCATTGTGCCTACACCGTACCAAAATAATCCAAGTGTTACTTTCCTTTTTCTCACCTTCCGACCGAAAGCAAAGCCTATTTTAAGGGAACTCTTGTTGCTTGGAGACGCGGGGAAGTGTTTCTCATCGCACACGTACTAACACACGCTTACACACTCCCCTCCCTGTGTTGCACACACGTGTGTGAGCTTACCTTGGCTTGGCTTTCTGGGCCACCACCCTGGGGGGCAGCGTGGGGGGGCGCACGGGGATGGGCGGCTTGCTTTCCAGCTGGTGGCGTTTGGCGGGCAGAGGGGGTAGAGGGGGCTTGGCCCCCTCCTCCAGAAAGAGGGGGCTGAGCCTCTCGCCACCTATCTGCGGAGGAGGGTCCAATCCTGGGTCCAAGGAAGCATCCGCAAGGAGATCCGGGAACGAAGCGGAGAACTTAACCGGAGGGTGGCAAGTGGTCCTCGGCGGGATAGGGGGAGGAGTAAGGGGGAGGCCGGCGGGGGCTTCTGAACCCCGTTCTAGGGGCGACCCCTTGCTACTTGGTCCTGCCAAGTCCCGTTTGGCCTCTTGCTCTGGCAAGGAGGCAGCCGCACTCGAGCAAGTCCGGAAGATGTGGCGTTTCATGGGGATGGGTCTCCTCGGGGGCAGCTGGGGACCTCCGGAGACAGACGGCGACTCGGCGAAAACCTTCGTCAACCCGGAGAGGATGCGCTTGCGATGGCCGGGCAGCAGGACGCCGAAGCGGAGGAGAGCCTCATCGGTCAGGTGCTGGCAGTCCTGGAGGCATCTCAGCTGGTTCTGCTCGAAGGCCTCGGTGTACTGGTCCAGGCGGAGAGTTCGCAGCCACTCGGCCAGGGCAAGCGAAGGCCCCTCCGCCATGGCTCTGGGGGCGCTCAGCGGCTTCCTGGCCAGCAGCTCAGATCATGCCTCTCTCTCTCTCGTCGGCGGGTTCTCAGGATCCCCGAGGACAGCGAGCACTGCGGGAGGAAGGAGAGCAGCCTCATCAGCGGCCAAGCCTCGCACCACCAACCCTGAAGGGCACGATCACCAGAAAGATCTGCACATCTGCAAAAACATGTGGCATTTCATGGGGATCGGTCTTCTCTTTCTTTCCTTCCTTCCTTCCTTTCCTTCCTTCCTTCCTTCCCTCCTCCCACCCTTCCTTCTAGTTTTCTTCCTTCCTTCCTCTTCCTTCCCTTCCAGCTTCCTTTCTTCCCTCTCTCCCTCCTAGATTGCTTGCTTCTTTCCTTCCTTCCTTCCTTCTTTCCTTCCTTCCTTCCTTCCCTCTCTCCCTCCTAGCTTGCCCTGCTTGATTTGTTCTTCCTTCCTTCCTTCCTTCCTTCTTTCCTTCCTTCCTTCCTTCCCTCTCTCCCTCCTAGATTGCTTGCTTGCTTGCTTCTTTCCTTCTTTCCTTCTTTCCTTCCTTCCTTCCTTCCTTCCTTCCCTCTCTCCCTCCTAGATTGCTTGCTTGCTTGCTTCTTTCCTTCTTTCCTTCTTTCCTTCCTTCCTTCCTTCCTTCCTTCCTTCCTTCCTTTCCTCTCTCCCTCCTAGATTGCTTGCTTGCTTGCTTCTTTCCTTCCTTCCTTCCTCCTTCCTCCCTCCCTCCCTCCCTCCCTCCCTCCCTCGTCTCTCCCTACAAGACTTTCAGATCTTACTCTTTTTTGGAACCGAGTCCCCAGAATGCCAAAAATGTTGAAATACAAGAAGCCGAGCCGGTCTCTCTACCAGGGGAAGGAAAGGGCTGTGCTGAGTCGTTTGGGCAGATGAAGGGCAGTGCTGTGGCTTCTGGGAGTTGAAGTCCAGCAGGATTAAAGTTGCCAAGTTTTGGAGACCACTAAACATTATAAACCCGCATATACAAAATTTAAAGTTTTAAGAGTGAAAATTTTGAGTAAGGATTCCAGGCTGTTTTCCCTGCTTGACCCCTCCAGCCCCCCCCCATCTCTCTCTGACCCTTGACCTCGCTCGAGACCCCCTGTGATACAAACACCCACATTATCCCATTATCCCATGTTTCTTCCTTCAGTCCCCTTTCTTCCCTGACTGCCCCTTGCCTCATTTCTGCTTTTGCAAGAGACCCTCGGCAGATTTTGCTGAGACCGAGATCTTCTCCAAAAGTCATTTCCTGTGGCTATAAATAAGAAGCCCAAATTCCCCCACCACCATTCTCCTTCTCCCATCCAGTCACACTTCTCTGACTCACCGACACTTCTTTGCACGTTTGCACACATCCGAACACAATCCCGACACCGGATCACCGACCCTGAACACTGCAATGGCCGCCCCTTTGGCGTGCTAGTAGTCCTCACCTTACGGCCAGATTTGAGCCCCAAAGTTTTGTTGCTAAGTGAGACATTTGTTAAGTCAGTTTCGCCTCACTTTTTTGCCGCAGTCATTAAAGTGAATCGCTGCCTTTGTTAAGTTAGTAACACGGTTGTTAAGTGAATCTGACTCCCTCCATTGACTTTGCTTGTCACAAGGTCGCCAAAGGTCATAAATATGAGTCAGTGGCAAAGCGTCTGAATTTTGATCACGTGACCCTGGGGATGCTGCGACGGTCATAAGTGTGAAAAACGGCCTTAAGTCACTTTTTTCACTGCTGTGTAACTTCAATCAATCATTAAATGAACTGGGGTTTTTTTTCCCCAAATAATATTTAGTTTATTCAAGAAAAGTTAAAATACAAAACACTAAATGAACTTTTAAGCCAAGGGCCTCCTTTAAAAGCCCCAGGGAGTCTTCTGAATGCAACGCTCTCTTAAGCGGAGGGGAGAGGAGATCTGGTGCCTTCCCCCCTTTGCAGGGATGCCAATACCCATCATCCCCAGCACCCAAGGTTGACGTCCAAGCCATCCAAAGAGACAATATCAGGGGAAGTTAAGGTTTTTTTTGGGGGGGAAGGTGGGGGGTTTTTTGGGGTCTTGCCAACCTGACCTTTGGATCGGAAAGCCTGGATTATTCGCCAGGCAACTTTCTTATTTTTAATGTTGTTTGTTTACAAAGAGGAACCCACGGGAAATATCACAAAAATGGGAACAAGGGTTGAGAAGGAAGTCAGCGCGTTCGTACACAGAAACGTAGAAAACCGGCAGCCGACCGAAGGCGCCATCGAGTTTGCCCCCCCCTCCCCAAGTTCTATTTTGGTTGGTTCCCTTTCTTTGCTTTTCTTTTTCATTCATTCATTCGTTCTTTTTAATGATCTCTATATTTGACTGCTTTTTTTTTTACTTGATTCTGTAGCTTATATTTTTAGGTCGTCCTTGGCTTACAGCCCAAAATGAATATTGCTCACTGAGAGGTGGTTGAGAGAGTTTTGCCCCGTTTTACGACCTTTTCTGCCGCCGTTGTTAAGTGAATCAATGCAGTGGTTAAGTTAGTGACACAGTCGTTAAGTGAATCCAGCTTTCCCTTTTGATTTTGCTGGTCAGAAGGTTGCCAAAGGGACAATCACATGAGCCCGAGAAGACTGCAACCGTCGTTAAGTACATGCCAGTTTCCAAGCATCTGAATTTTGATCACGTGTCCACGGGGATGCTGCCACGGTCGTAAGTGTGAAAAAAGGGTCCTAACTCACTTTTTCAGTGCCATCGTAACTTCGGTCACTAAATGAACTGTTGTAAAATGAGGATTAGCGTATCTCATATTATTTTACAGGCAGTCCTCGACTTACGAACATAGTGGAGCCTTTCCGTTGCTAAGCAAGACAGTTGCTAAGTGAGAGCCTTGCCCTGTTTTACAACCTTTCTGACTGCTTTCAGAAGGAAGGACCCCGTCTGAAAAGGCTGCCTTTTCCCCTAGATATTTTTGCTGAATGCAGGATAAAAATACCCTGGCTGAGCTTATTTTAGTTTCCGGGAACGTTCGCAAGGCAAGATGTCATCCCAGCACATGGCCCCCAGCTCTTTCCCAACCCCAAAGCCTCCTCCGGTGACCCCCCCCCCCCCGCCCCCCCCCCAAACTCTGCTGCTTCCTCCGCTGGCTGGGTGGTTGGAGCATTGACTGCTACCTTTTGACGCTTTCGGTTCCTCTATTCCGTAAACTGAACTCAAATAAGCCCCTTTTTCTCAGCCGTGCTGTCGTGCAGAGGGTCCTCGACTTACGGCCACGACGGAGCCCAGCGTTTCGGTGGCTTAAGCTGTGAAATTGGCCCCACTTTACGACCTTCCTTGTTAAGGGAATCCCTGCAATGGTGAAGTTAGTCACACGGTTGTTAAGTGAATCTGGCTTCCCTGCGGACTCTGATCGTCAGGAGGTCACAAAAGGGGATCACGGGACCCTGGGGGCACGTGGCAGCCGTCATAAATACGAGTCGGCTGGCAAGTGTCCGAATTTGGATCAGGTGACCGTGGGGGATGCTGCAATGGTCGGAAGTGTGAAAAACGGTCCTAAATCCCCTTTTTTCAGGGCCGTCGTAACTTCAAACGGTCACTAAATGAACTGTTGTAAATCAAGGACTGCCTGTTTTCTGTTACTCTGCTTGGATTTTCTATTTTCGGAAAAGCTTTGCGAAGAATAATGGCAAAAATGGGACCTGGATTAACTTCTCTATTTCCTTTTTTTTCTGTTTTAGAATTGACCCACAAATCCATTCACACCACTCTGCTGGTTTTGCAGCCCCCACCCAGCCCCCTCCCCACCAACCTCGGCAGGAAGGAAGCCCCGGTCAGGCAGGAGTCCCTACCCACCCCAGCCCATGGCTGGATGGTGGCCTTCGCCCTCGCCACTGTCTCCCCTGACCCCGTGGCCCCTCCGTGTGACTCATGCCAACAAGAGGACATCGTTCGATGCTCCTCAGGAAACTACCACAATTTGCCAAAGCCACAACCGTCTTGCTAAGGTTGTGGGAAGTTTCACGTTTGCAAAAGCTCTGGTCAAGTGGCAAGGGGTTCCCCAGACGCCTTTACACAGTCAGAGAAGTGACTGTCACGCGGACATCCGGTTTCAAACGCCAGCAGAGCGCAGAGGGTCTGGATGCGACTCACCCACAAAGCAGAATCCCGAGGGAGGAGGGCAAAAGAGTCAAGATGGTGGCTTTGAGTGATACTCACAGACACACACACACAAAAATGTCCCTTGCAGGTCTACTCCGAAGTAGATCCCTACAATTCAATGGGATGAGGACAAATGCAATTTTAGCCATCGGATCATCCTCGCAAATCAGCTGCTATCACTTTTTTTTTTAACCTTTGAAGATTAAAAAATACAGGCAGTCCTTGATTTATGACCACAATTATAACATATATGGGTATATCCATAATTTTGCGTATATTAGGGGTGGAAACCCTTTGAGAGCTGCATGCAACGAAATTTCCTTTTTAATGTATGCCTATTAGTGTACATTCAAAATTCAAAGTGACAATAAAGCTATTATTCTATTCTATTCTCTACTGTATTCTATTCTATTCTACCCTATCCTATTCTATTCTTTTCTTATTTATTCATTTATTCTGTCATGTTTATGTTATATATATTAGTGGAGACCCTTTGAGAGCTACGGGCAATAAAATTTCCTTTTTAATGTATGCCAATCAGTGCACATTCAAAGTGACGAAGTTATTATTCTATTATTTATTTATTTATTGGTTCGATTTATATGCCGCCGTTCTCCGGAGACTCAGGGAGGCTTACAATGCGTTAAGCAATAGCCTTCATACTTTTGTATATACCTGCTTAGTAGGGCTTTCGCCCCCCCCCCCGAGTGGTGTTCTTTTTTATACAAAGTCAGCTTATTGCCCCCACAATCCGGGTCCTCATTTTACCTACCTCGAAAGGATGGAAGGCTGAGTCAACCTTGAGCCTGGTGAGATTCGAACTTGCAGTAATTGCAGGCAGCTGGTGCTAATTAACAACACTTTAGTCTGCTGCTCCACCAAGGCTCTGTTATGATGTTATTCTATTGTTCTATTCTACAATGGAGCCCAAAATTTCTGTTGTGATGTGAAACATTTGTTAAGTGAATTTTGCCCTGAATTCAGACTTACAACCATATGATTTGCTTAACAACCACACAATGGTGTGGTTGTTATGAGAGCCTAATGACTTTTGTAAAAACGGTCATAAAATCAAGTCATGCGATGATTCGACTTACGACCTCAATGAGTTACCACCACAATTCTGGGG